TGTATTAAGTGTATTAACAGATTAAATATATTAACACAAAATCATGAGAGAGAACAAGAGCCGTGATATCTCAGTGTCCGGACGCTCGCCTTTAATTCAATATACTCGAGCAACCTGAGTTCGATCCCCGTTGCCAGCACCAATGAAATTGTTAATTTTAAGTGCTGACTTATCACGTGCTCCGCGGTGAAGGAAAACATCGTGAGGAAACCTGCATATTTTCGAAATAAAAAAAAAAAAAATATTTTTCGAAGATATGTGAAGTCCGCCAATCCGCAGTGGGGCCGCGCGGTGGACTATGCCCTGATACCCTCTATATAGAGGAGGCCTTTGCCCAGCAGTGGGACATGTATAGGCTGCTACTTTTTTTACTTACGCAATTGAAGAATAATCAGCTTAAATTCCGTAATATTTTCATATTGACTGATGGATTATTGTAAAAGTTTTGTACGACCCCGTTAAAACTAAATAAAGTTGAAAGTAATGACTTAGAGCGTAGATTTTTTCCTGTGCCTGTATTTCAATGAAGTCAGCTTTTTGTAATTCCCTTTATAAAGTGATACAATAAAAGGTAAATAAATAAATCAATAAATAAATCATTCCGACAATGTCTGATTTATCAATGGTCATTAATTGCCATGATATACGCTTCAGTGTCCTCCCTGAAACAAAGGCCTTGTCCTATTTTCGTTTCCTGATCAATTTTTTTTTGGAAAAACTTGCTTACGAAATTAGACTATCGATCGTTTTGAGATTACTACAAAGTACGGAAACTGTTTCTAGATAATTTGGCAGAGCAATCACAACATTAGTTTAATGTTTTTTATATTTTACTTAATTTATTATATTATTTATACTCTATGAAATACGTCCCGAAATATACATTTGTTCATTTTAAGCATTAAAATGTGGACCCCTGTTCTCACTCCTTTGATCTAAAAGAATATTTAGAACCGATCTATGTATATTGAAAGTGAAGTTATAAAAGAAATCGATTTAATATTTTCGTGTTAATACCCCACAATAACCTATAAGTTGAGTACAAATGAATGCAATTATTTTTTTACGTGGAAAGGTAACAACCGAGCAGGTGATTCTCCTGATGTTAAGTGTTAACCGCCGTCAATGAACATCTATAATACCTAAAGGGTTATGAATGCCGTGCTAACTATTAAAAGACAAGTGTGGGCCCAGGCTACCTCACTCACTAGAAACGTGGATACCTCCACTTCACATTAACAGTAGCAGGGCCACGCAATGGTCACTGTTGCACGAATAGGCAGGTTAGTCCGGGTATGTACCACGACCTCACAGAAGACCGGCGTTAAGTAGAAGTGTTACACTTCTGCGTTTCGTCTGGTGAGTGATGCAGCCAGGACCCACTTTATCAAAAGATGGCAAAGCATCTACAACCCTACGGGTGTTGCAAATGTCCACGGTCCACCACCTCATCTTTATATTTTTGAACAACAAATTTGTGATTTCAATGATTTTTTTTATTATTAAGGCCCATTTACACGGTGCAAGTTTCTTGCCTGTTACAATTAAATTGAAGCAATAAATTAGTTGCATTGTCTAAACAGCACATAACATTCTTGACTGTTGAACAAGACTTGCTTCAAGTTTTGTTTCAAAACTTTCCTTGGTGTAAACAGCACACACAATAATTTCTTAAGCAATTCTTGTATTCAATTGCATTCTCTCTTCCATTGCAAAAATGAGTGCAATGAGTGAGGGTGTTTAATCGTTGCTGTTCTTTTGAGGCAAGAAATATTGAGAAAAGGTCGTAAAAATGTTGGACAAAAAAATGAATAATAATATATGGATAATAATAAATAAATCTCAATGCAATATATGAAATCGGTATAATCTAACTTGAACACTTATTATTAACCCATTTTTTTAAAAATAAACAGCCCTTTTCAAAACGTTCAACACTTGAATGAAATATTTGTCAACGCAAATACGTGCAATACTTGAAGCAACACGCCAATGAATTGTACACGGACATACAAGCATGTGTTTAGACAAGTCAAAACTTGAAAGCAATAATCGCAAACATAATTGCATTGGTGTAAACAAAAGACTTGCATTCAATAATCGCATTCAATTTTTTTTACTATATCTGCGTGTAAACTGTTGCTTGCAATTCTTGATGGTCAATTATTGCGTGCAACTTATTGCATTCAATTATTGCTCTTGTATGTACAAGAAAATGGCATCGTGTAAATGGGCCTTTAGTGTCAGTTAGTCTACCTTAAATTAATAAGAATCTTAAAGTGTTCCTGTCATTAATTAACTAAATCTATTGTCAATATTTCACCTCGACATTATATCACTTTCATTTTCATTTTCATGGGCGGAGATTTTCACTTAACATCAGGTGAACCGCCAGCTCGATTACCACTTTGTCACATACGATACGAGCCATCACGTTCGTGCGACATCACAGGCTGCGGCGTGGCCCTACCACAGTAAAATGTTACCTGTCCGCAATCTCTTGCTCTGAAAACACCCACGTCAAATAGATTTACGTACAGCCGTTTATGTACAGGCCCCAACAAATTGTCCATTTGTTGAAAGCACGATAAAGGAAGAAGCAAAACACTTCCTTCGATCTTGTGGAATATTCTAAATAAAATAATTACTAACTATTAACAAGTCCATTTTTTTATTAACGAAAAACAAAACCGACTTCTAATATCTCTCTCTGTATTCATTTTATAGTTGATTCTCAGGAGTTTCCTAAGTATCTCCGGATCCCAAGATCCAATACCAATGAAACTAATATGGGACCACGTGGGAAGGACCAGCTTTCAAATAAAATAAGAATCATCAAAATCGATTCACTCAGTCAGAAGTTCTGAGGTAACAAACATAAAAAAAACAGTCGAACTGAGAACCTTCCTCCTTTTTAAGTCGGTTAAAAAGTCCACTTTCGTAATCAAAGGTTGGCGCTGAGCTGATCCCTTTAGCACCTACAGTTATATCGCTTTAGGGTTACGTACCGAAAGGGTAACGGGACCCTTTTACCCGTCTATCTGTCTGGCTCACTGTCAGTCCGTCTGTCACCAGGCAGTATCTCATGAACCGTGATAGTAAGACAGTCGAAATTTTCGCATAAGATGTGTTTCTGTTGCCGTTATAACAAAAAATAATAAAAAACAGAATAAAATCCCATACAGCAGACATAATTCAGCAGACATTATTTTTTTACCGCTTTTATAGATAATGGTACGGAACCTTTTGTACGCTAGTCCGACTCGAAATTATTTTTATTTATCACTGGTAAATTTAAGATAATAGGTTATTATGACATATTTCAGTTTTACGGTGGTAGAGCCATGCAGCAGCCTCGGCTGTTGCATGAATGGTCCGGGTAAGTACCACGACCTCACAGAAGACCAGCGTAAAGTGGAAGTATGACAAATACTTTCGCGTTTCGTCTGGTGAGTGAGGTGGCTGGTGCCCAATTTTCAAAAGGTTGTCAACACATCTGCACCCCTCGGGTGTAGCAGATGTCCATAGGTGGCACTATTCACATAACATCAGGTGAACCATCTGCTCGTTTGGCAACTTTTCACATAAAGAAAAAAGATATATTTCAGTTTCAGCTCAAGTATGTTCGTGGTAAGTGCAAATGCACGCTTGTAAAAGGAAACCAACAAACGAATTTAATAATACGAAAAATATGTTATTCTAAATAAAGACAAGGCAGAGCTTAAACATTTCAGTTAAGATGTATGGATTCTGATACAGGCGAAATAAGGCAAGAAGAATAGTTTCTCATAATCTCCGATACGGTTTGATTAATTAATTAATAAGAAGGGTGTTAGCATTTAAGGGGTAATCTTGAAAAGTACCCAATCTACTTTGAAAAGATTTCCGTTAATAGAAAGCTACATAAGTAAAAACTGTAGTTTAAAACAGCAAAATAGAAAAATAAAAGTTATTAAAAATGAATTCCGGCAAAGAACTTGCAATTTCGTCGAATCTATAAGCGGGCGAACTATGTAGAGCATATATTTATTGATCTTTTATTTATTATTAACAGTGTAATAATTTAAATACGGTTTGTGTTGTAAAATTTGACCAGTCACGTTACTCAACAAAGCCTATACTCTAATATGCCTATAATAAAGGCAGTAATGGATTAATAAAGAGTTATTAATCCATTACTGCCTTTATTATATTAAAATATAATAATAGGGATAATAATTACAATTTTAAGTATATTATCGTAATTATTTTAAATTTTTCTGTATAAGATGATACTCGTATATTTCAGGAATTTTGTGACTGATTGTTTAAAAAATTGCAAAACTATTTTAATTAAACTCTTCCTTTCTTGCTCATTTATAACTTTTTTTAATTTATTTTAAAAAATATCTATTTTAGTATCTCTATTTTTTTATTCTTTTTAATGCGTTATTCTGACGTGTACGCGAGTACGTGTGTCGTACGCGAATCGTAAAGAAGATTTGAATTAAAATAGTTTCGCAGCAAAACAATTTAACCGTTTAATTCGTGATTTATCGAACAACAAAAGATCTCTATCGATATGATATCAATCAATGACACTATTGTACTCTTTCTAAGATGTAGGCTCTGTTAATAAATAAAATCTCTGCATTTAGGAACAAGGGGAAAGGTGATCGTTGTGAAGAGGGCTAAAGCATAAATTATCCCTTTCGTAGAGTCGAGATAGAGTCTGTGCTCGCAGCTTTCTCTCTCGGAGCGAGCGGACGGATTCTGGCACAACTTACGTAGATACTTGCGGTGGGCGATGGCAGGCGGCGGCGGTCCCCGAAACGTATCACGCACAACACTACCGATGGCACAAAACACAGGCGTACACTGATATCGGTGCTAAGTCACGTTCACCGTGCACGGGCGCATAATTGTGGCGCCGCGGAGCGATGATCCGGCACGCCGCGATGATTCCTTGTGCGTGTCTGTGTGTGCGTTTTTTTTTCTACGTTCAGCTGGCGCGTTGACCGATGAGTTGGGCGGAAGGCGCGGAGGGCGGCGCGCGCATCCGCCCGCGCGTTGTTCGCTACGCTGCGCGGCGCTCCGCGCCAACTTCACTCTACGGACTGACCTCGTTAGGGCCACGCTATTCTCGCTACGCCGCGCCGGCGGGGCGGTCGCATCCCTTAGGTCCGGTCGAACGCCAGCCGGGTTCGTTTATCACTAAGCTAGCTTCCACCCGCGACGTTTCTCGCGTGGCTCACTTCGTAATAAAATATTATACTCACCCACTCGCTCTACAAATACTTGGCGAATTCCCGTAGCGGTTTTACTTGGCCAATTCTAATGGTTTTGGGAAAACGCAAAGAATAATCTTATAAGTATTTTTTACATTTACTATAGGGAGAAAAACATGCTGTGAATGGTCAAACAAATTTCTTTAAAAGCTAAGACTTTCTCTTTGAAGACACTGCCACTAAAGGACAAAAGTCAGCAGACAAATTGAATTCTCCTCCCAGTTATCGAGGATATGTTCTTTAAGGAACTTTCTTGCGCTTTAGCACTAACATATGCTTATTTTATCGAAAAAATAGATTTTTTTTTTTAAAAGGACCGAAAAAAATGCGAAATGAACCCACGTGAACCACGCCGAACCCACCCAGGGCGCGAATCCCGTAGACGCGAGTTCGATTCCCACAGCTTTTCGTTCCTTTTTTCTTCTAATTTAATAATTAGCAGAAATTAGCACTTATTAAAGACTATAGGTTGGTCGGCCAAAATAAAATAGTGAGGATAGCGTAAACAACTTTCTATTTTAATTAGACTACTTCCTACTTATTAGGACAGAGTAACTTCCTATACAAAGGATAAGAGTCTTCTAACCCTATCACTGAAACATTATGCGCTTATATACAAAAATATAATGAGTCATCACAACTACATTACAAATCAATGCACTTATTAAATTACTAATACAGTTAATGAGATTGACCTATTAAATTATAAATTAATATTAAGCATGGTTTATTACATAATATTATACCAGATATGGTTCAATGTTTCATCATCATCATTTCAGCCTGTTTGAGTCCACTGCTGAACATAGGCCTCCCCCATAGACTGCCACGAAGTACGATCCTGAGCCACCTGCATACATCGACTTCCCGCACATTTGCACAGGTCGTCACTCCATCTAGTGGGGGGTCGTCCCACACTGCGATGGCCAGTACGAGGCTGCCACTCGAGAACCTTTCTTCCCCAACGGTTATCGGTTCTACGAGCTATATGGCCGGCCCATCGCCACTTCAGCTTGCTAATCCTCTGAGCTATGTCGGTTACCTTGGTTCTACTGCGGATGTCTTCGTTACGAACTCTATCACGCAGAGAAATACCGAGCATAGCCCGCTCCATAGCTCGCTGAGCGACTTTGAGCTTCCTCATACGGCCAGCAGTGAAGGACCACGTCTCGGTTCCGTAGGTCATCACTGGTTCAATGTTTATTAAGTATAATTATTGTTATTGCTCGTTTATTATACATATTGTTATGTTCGAAGTACGGAGCATAGGGACTAGTGAAACACTCAAGAGCTGTCAACGCACTGGCTTTAATTTGTCAACAATATCGGGGCGCGGACGCAGCCACGCACACATATACAATACATATAACTGTATGAAAATTAATAATAATAAATGTTGTGTAATATCGTTTAGTAAGATCATCAATAAATATAGTAAAATACAATTCAATTATAATATAAATAATACACCCTTAGAACGAAGAAACACCGTTAAGGATCTAGGAGTAATACTTGACAGCATGTGGACTTGTCAGGAACATTATGAATCTATCGTTACGAGATGCAACAAATTAGTAGGTTTTATCTTCAGAATAAGTAAAGATTTCAAATCCCCAAAAAGTATTATTTTTTTATATATCTCACTAGTACGAAGTATTTTGGAATATGCTTCGGTAATTTGGTCGCCTTATTACGCAATACACTCTTCTAGGATAGAACAAGTTCAAAAAAGAGTACTTAAAATGACAGCATATCGTTACGGACTTAAGAGAACTTTGCCTATGAGGAACGATTAAAATATTTTGAAGTTGATACCCTAGAAAAACGACGGCAGCATTTTTCTTTGGTACTTCTGTACAAAATTGTTAACTCAGTGGCCCATTCTGAGTTACTAGCTAAAATAGGCATGAATACAAACTATCGTAGTCGTAATGCCTAATTATTTTATATTCCACTAGCATCTACCAAATTTACCCAAAATAACCCTATCTCTAAAATGTGTACCTTGTACAACAAACTTACAACCATTGATGAATCAGTAGATATATTCCATCAGAAGCTGAGTGCATTCAAACGAAGTATAATAATAATAAATAATAAAATATCTTTATTCACATAGACGCTTGCGCGTTCTTATGAAACGTCAAAATTTCACAAGAAAATAAAACACGTTCGTAAGTTACCACCGGTTCGGAAAGCAGTTTCTGTTGAGAAGAAACCGGCAAGAAACTCAACAGTTGCTCTTTTTAAAAAAATCAGTTTACAATATAATAGTACAGGTACAATAGTCTTGTTTTAGCCTACGTGAGTATCAACAGTATTAACCCCACACATTGGCGTCGTCAAGATATTCGGCAATAGAATAATAGGCTTTAGCCATAAGTTTAATTTTAATTTTTCGTTTAAATTCATCAAAGTGGCAGACTTAATATCGACTGTGGGATTTTATTATACATGCGCACACCTTGCCCCATGAACGACCTGTTTACTTTTTGTAGACGAAACAATGGCGTAGTTAGTTTGTCCTTATTTCTAGTATTTAGTTTATGTCTGTCACTAGTCTTTAGATAACTATTAATATTATTTTTAACATACAAAATATTAAATATATTGAGACGCAACAGTGAGTATATTAATCTCTTTAAAAAGGTCTCTGAGTGTATTCGAGGCACATAATGTTTTTATGTTTTTTTTTCTTATTTTTTTACTTTTTATTTAAGTAGTTACTTTCAATACCTTTGTCTTTTGATTTTTTAATTTATAACTTAATATTGTTTAATTATACCGAAGCATGTAGTGTACATATATTTTTGGCGGACAGTGTGTACAAGTTGCCATTATTAAGATTATTGTACTGTTTGCTGTTCTATGTACCAAATAAGATAAAATAAATAAATAAAATATATTAAGCACTGTTGCCAGTGGATTGTAACACACTACAAAAATTTAATTAATTTAAGACTTTATGATATACTAACCTGTTAACGGTGGAATCGCCCGCGCAGTCAAAGGGAATTAACAATGAGTTTTTTTATTATACACAAAAATAGCTCGCAGATGGCAGAATTTTTCCTTCCTACTTGACACTTATGGTTATATTTTGGACGATTCACATAACATCGTTATAAATTGTATTAAATTGTGTATTATTCTGATGTATTACCTATATTATTGTAAAGTTTCTTTAAAATCCATTCAGTATTTTTTGCGTGAAAGAGTAACGAACATCCATACATAGAAACGTTCGCGTTTATAATATTAGTAATATTGTAAATGTGAAAGTAGCTCTGTCTGGCCCATTTACACGGTGCAAGTTTCTTGCCTGTAGTATACAATTAAATTGAAGCAATAAATGAGTTGCATGGTCTAAACAACAAATGGTCTAACAAATTATTGCGCGCAATTTATTGCATTCAATTATTGCTCTTGTATGTACAAGAAAATGGCATCGTGTAAATGGGCCTTAACTCTGTCTGTCTCGCTTTCAAGCCATAACCACTGAACCGATTTAAATGAAATTTCAGTGTACACAGTCGTACACGCTCGACATAATTATTACGAAACGGCGTCAATTGCACGCCTCATCATTAAGGCCCATTTACACGGTGCCAGTTTCTTGCCTGTTGTATACAATTAAATTGAAGCAATAAATGAGTTGCATGGTCTAACCAACAAATGGTCTAAACAATTATTGCGCGCAATTTATTGCATTCAATTATTGCTCTTGTATGTTCAAGAAAATGGCATCGTGTAAATGGGCCTTTATTCTAAAATAATCGGCATTAAGTTTGCAGTTCGCTGTCAGTCATCAAGCATGTCACGCGTTCTCATTTATCAGTATCAAGTTGTTTATTAATTTTCGGACAATACAGTTTTTAACCTATGTCAATAGTGTTTTATATCAAGTTCTAGGAAACCTAAATTCCTACATACACAGAAAGTCTAGAGCCTGAGAAAGGACAAAGGGCATATCTCTGTGTCGCTACAAGCTATCAAATCGTTTCAACCCTAATTGATATATTGTTGCAGTTAAATTTGAATGATATGAGTTTCTTATATTTATATAAAAAAAGTAAAGTAAGGTAACAGCCTATATATTTCCGCTGGCAAAGGTCTACCCTGCACAGCTTTAAGGCGTAGGGGTTGTTCGAAAATGCAGGTGTCCATCACCACCGAGCACGTGATAAATCAGCACTCAATATTTCAACTAACAATTTCATTGGTGCCAACGGGATAAGAACTCTGGTTTCACGGGTATATTGAATTAAAATCGAGCGCTCAGTCACCGAGCTATCACGCCTTCTTTGTATACTGTTTTAAACTAATGTCTTATCGTACGTTATAACATGTCTCATCATGATTAATTAGATCATTTCCTTTGTCTTTTTTAAAAGCATTTTTTTTATATTTTTTTGTTATATTTATACTAATATTATAAATGCGAAAGTTACTCTGTCTGTCTATCTCGCTTTTACTCCAAAACTACTGAACCGATTTGAATGAAATTTGTCACACATTGTTTGGTACACAGATATTCTCGAGCATGAGAAAGGACAGACTATTTTTTAATTGGAAAAAAGTGTTGTAAATGGTTGAAAGATATTTATTTAAGGGCTTCAACGCGAACCACGGGCGAAACGCTAGTTACTTATATATTATAACTATATTTTTTAATCTTCTTTTATATAATTAAAAAAATAATAAATATAATTATTTACAAGGCATCAATTTATCACGTCGTGTTTACCACGTTACGAAGTTTTTTGATCTTTTTCTTTGCCTATTGTTTTCTCAACATCGGCAAGTCATGGAGCGGGTAAACAAATGAATATCATAATAGTATCCTTCACGGAGTACACAATAAATTATATCGTGTTACGGTATGATCTCCCACTCTCCGACATTATATTGTGCCGTCACACCCACGTTATGTCACCGTGTCACGTCTGTCCCGAAATACTATAGTGATGTACCTTGTATCTTAATATCGATCTTTAAGGATCACTTTGGGGTAATGCGACGAC